TAACTCTCCTCGGGTTCCGATATTTTTCAACATGATGACCAGTGATGTAGTCTAGGACATTATGAGTGCAGAAAACTCATCGGAGGCTTTCTATTCGCAAGTAACTGGTATTATTATCCACTAATAAGAATTAAAAAAATCCAGGATCCACGCATAAAGTCTTTTACAGTATTTTATTCTGGTCAAGAGAAAATAAAATGATTGTAAATATAAATAAGAGCAATTATCAAGCTTTTACCTTTAGTACAAAATTTTAAAATGTTTCAGTTTTATAGGAACTACCTCAATTAAATAAAATTCAAAATGTTATGCACTTGAGAATTACTTTGGATTCCAGACCTACAGGTACAGGTAGAAGCTAGGCCAGCACCTCCGTAGTACCACAGGTAATTGAGGTATTGCTGAACCTAGCTAACTATTAAACTTTCCACCCCAATTTTGAGGAAGAACACCCCGGGGGCGGTCCGAGGATCTCCCGCCCCTCTTTTTTTACCATTAACCCACTTGAGGGGACTTTCTGAGATCAATGATTTCTGGTATGAATAATGTACACAAATCATACTGAGAAAAGACTGTCCTTGAAATGTTCAACAACTGATGCTTCGAAAAGTCTAAATGTATGAACAAATGTCCTTTTCTAAGGCGGAAGGCATAATAAGCAAGTCTTTTGAGCTCCTGTCCATCAGCATTGCGTAGAAAAATGAAATTGTTGGAACATAAAATGAAATTAAAAAATAAAAATAGTAAATAAAAAAATATATATTAGTAATAAATATGGAGATGCATAAGCATTAGATATGACAAATATGGTATAGTAACATATGGAGATGAATAGCATTAGATATGACAAATATCCAGTCGAGTCTTGGGATATGTATAAGAAACGTCTCTGATTTTGGCCCTAAGGTGTCTGTCCTTTATTGCATATTTCTTAAATGGTATTAGATTGTCCTTAGGCTTGATCAGATGTTTGCCGTCTGTTAGATTACAGTCAAAAATGTAATGATCAGGGTCACCCCTTTCGCCACATATGCAGAGATCCGTAGGGCACATGCCTCTGTCATGGAAGTAAGTGGGGAAAGGACCGTGCCCTGTGATATACTGATTCAGAACATGGTCATGAATATAGAGCTGGGCTATTGGTTACACCTCTGATATAATCCAGAAAAAGTTGGGAATTGTTCAAAACAATCCTTAGGTGATGCGCATTCAAACCTAACTGAAGGTTGTGTAATGCGGTGAAAGTCATTGGTGAACTGGAGGCAAAGATCTGCTTTTAAACTACTTGAAAATCCTCTGAGATATGATTAAAAAGTAAAAATTCAGAAAAGCTCTTCGGATTTGATAAATGGATTAGCAATAAAATTTGAAGCGCCTGTCCTTGATAGAAATCCTCTGTTTGAACCAATAATTTATCAAAGACATATAGAGTCAACTGCAGTCTGGACTTGATTCTTCCCATAATGAAAGCGTTTTACGCGGGTAGAGACCCCATGACAACTGCTATTGTTGCATTTGACGAAAGGTATATTTCTGCAAATTCTGAACACATTTCTGAATGTGAACACGGATAATTCCGCTGCGGATATCATTAGAAATGCTGGAGATAGAATACTCTAACAACAGTTTAATCTCAGCAGAGTTGGTGGTAAATTTTGCAATAACTTTGGTGCAGTAATTGTTCTTTCTTTAGTTTTTAGGAAATTTGTAGGACAACTGAGCCAAATGCTTTTATCTTTAATGGCTACAACGTTGTTATTATAGCCTTTTCTACTGTGTCCCTTAGCGGTAAAAATTACGTTTATGGTTATCAGATTGTTCTTGACACTCTTTTGGAAAGTGAACGACAAATTACAATGCATTGCCTACCACTGTGGTATTAGTAAAAGTGATTTGGTAGATGGCCTGCCTACTGTTAGCTCTGACTTGATTATACTCTGTTGCCGATTTTCTGCTGATAAAACATTTATCAAACCCAGCTTAAAGGTACAACGGCGAACCCTATCTAGCGAATTTCTTATGGAAAATTCCTCGGGGTTCCCTTACAAAGGACATCAGTTCCCTTAATTACCTAACACTGAGGGCTCGAAAAATTCGCGTCTCAGAATTGGCTAATAATGTTTGCAAAAACAACTCCATCGCATCAGTTTGACAGACTCACCAATGTACCAGTTATGTGTCCTGACTGACATGACTGGAGATCTCTCTTCTACATTTTTTCTGGGGTTGTAAGCATTAATTTTTCAAAGGATATAAGTGTTTCCCTTGTTTCGATACTCACCGGGCTGCCTGACGCAGACTAACGCCTGAAAAGCTGAGATCCGACATTAAGGGGACCAATCAAATAACAATTCGAATGTCAGTTGATTTGAAAGTCGTCAAAGCAACAACTGGCGAATTCTGTTTATGACTTGGGCACTCCAGCCGCCGAGTGTCTCAGTCCGCTGAAAAGTGATAATTCGACTCTGATTTTGGTAGCGCGAAACAAAGAACGAATTGACTGCAGGGTGGTTTGGTGATTTTTGCCATAATCAACAAAATTAAACGAAATATTTGGCTGGTAACCATGTTTGGCGACATCTCTCAGTTTAGCACTAAAGTATTTATAAAGAGCTTTATTTCCTTTAGGCAGTCAGAAGAATCGTTAATGAAGAAACACCGAAACACACTTACGGAACAGCAATACTTTCAATGAATTCCGACTGCATCATTAAATTTTAAGTATCTGGATAAATGACTTAATTTTCGAAACAAAACACATTCAATAACTACAGAAATAAACAAAAATAAAAGACTGTTCAAAACAGTTTAGTCAAATATATATGAAAATAGAAATGCTTGCAGGTCTAATTTTATTAGCATTTCCAGAATACAATATCGTATTTGTTAAACATACGAGGAATCATGGATACGACTGAAAGCACACGATTACGTGTCAGAACTGTTCAATTTCTGTCACTAACGTGGGAAATACACACATATTACGATAAATTTATGACTTCTGATTGAAAAAACATTCCTTTATTACATATTTTTGTCTCCTCTTTCTCATTTCATGCTTGATGAGGAAAGCCACAGCGAAACGCAATCTTTTCATTTCACGTCCTCTTATTTCAAGTGCCGTTACATATACATATACAAAAAGAATCATATTTATTGAAGAAATAGTAGAAATTAGGAAAAATACAATTTTTGAATTATTCATTACGGAAACAAAACGCTACCCTGCGTTGAAATCAATAGTACTATATGAGTTGCAACGATCAAAAGGGATATTAATAACGGGAAAATTTAATGCATACGAAAAAAGCCACTTCATTTATGCTTAGCTATTTTTTTGTTTTAAATATATACATGTTATACCATTTAAGTGATAAATACTACAGAAATATGCATTTCAAAATTTTTGTACCTTTCTGTTCTGTACTTCAGGTGGAATCCTAATCTAATAATTCTCTATTTGCAGACAAAATTTCTGCCAAGTAACCGGGAATGGTTTACTTTGCCTCGTTTTTTCTTTTTCATATTTATTGGATTAGTTGCCACTCCAGTAGGCAACCAGTATTGTGAAGATTTTACTTTATAAAATATTTAATTAATGGAAATTAATATGCTGGAGAGACAGTTTACATGAACCATCTCAGCCATTGAAGCAACATTGAAACACCTAGAGTAGATAGATAATCGCCTAAAAACTTTTAAGAACGATTGTTTTCAGAACATTTATCCTTAACACATTTTAATGTTAAAAGTATTAAATGTGTATTTTTGCAACAATTCAATGCATTAATAAATATAAATAATATTTTGTAACAACTCAAATGTAATTGCTGCAGCTTGTTAGGACTTTATAGATGGTTTTCTCGAAATCAGATGCAAGAAGAAGGACTGATAGTATACGCAATCAAACCCATATATGTTAGAAATACAACTTTGAATTAATTTTCTTCGTCTATCGACTCATACCTTCCTAAGCTTTAATATGATATTTTCGTACGCATGCTGGTAAGGGCAAACAAATCAGTAAGAAGTCTACAAAGAAGCAACTGTTTAAAAAATACACTGCTATAACAAAGCTTTGGCATTCTATTAGCCTCAGGACGCAGTAAAGTAGCCCAAAATATTATACATTTATATAAATTAATATAAAATTAATTTTATTAAAACCTTCGTTCGTATTTAGATGTCCATAGAAAGTTCTAATTAGACCTCAGAATTATTTCTGTTACTGTGAATTCATTACTTAAAATATTGTAAAAAGGACCAAACAATAAAAATTATCAATAAAATGTTTGAATTATTATAGGATACTACATTTAATCTCGTTGTGTAGAAATCAACCAGTGCTTGTTTTATTTTTCTAGATCAATACCTATACAGCAATACGTTTTAGGGATCAACACGTAGCTCGGGTTTGAGTAACACTGACTACTTAGTTTCGATAGCTCTAACTATACACCTGAAAGCATAACAACAAACATTTATGATAATTTTTGTGAAAGGCAATATTTAATAATTTATTACAATTCATTAATAGAATGAATGACAGAAACGTTAATTAACAAAACTAATTACAAACTGCAATGCATACTGCTTAAATTCGCAATGTCTGGAAGTCATAAATAATTTTTAGAAAATGTTACTTAAGGCAAACAAACTTTTGCTACTCTAATTTTGCAGGTCTCTTCTATAATACCAAGAAACATGCATAGATAGCATGCGCTCAGATAATTAATAAATTACGCATTATTCCTAAAATTGCATTTCGTTTAGAAAACGCAACTCACTTATGTACAAGACTTTATTACATTTATGCTTTTGTTCCATAAATTAAAAACGAAGGACAAAGTTTAATATTTTATTGTCTTATTGTATTCAGAGTTATTAAAATGGCTTTTTGAGAGAAGATTTAGGATGAAGGATTAGAGTATTGAGAAATATTCTGAGCATTATAACATGCGTATCTCTTAAACGTGTGTAAAAAGAATGACATTTAAAAGATAACGCTTTGCTTATTACACACGAACAAAACTTGTCAACTACTAGAACATCACTGTCAGAAATGGGTTTCAACGAGCTTTTAACAGAATGTGGAGAGTTTGGTTTATTTCAAAAATTTTTAGCATTTGCATTTTTAATGCCCTCAATTATTTCAGTATCATGTACATATTGGACTCAAGTTTTCATACTTTTGATCCCTCCTCATCGTTGCAAATTAGATCCTGATGATAATGACTATTTAAATGCAGCTAATTTATCTTTAACAAGCAAGGATGAATGTCATTTGTATCGAAATCGTGACTTAAAGCCAAGTGAAATAGTTCCATGTCCTTATGGAATTGTTTATGATTACTCACTATACTTTCCTACTTTTGCATCAGAGGTACGTTTGCAAACTTGATATTAATTTAGCAATCCAAAATTAAAAAATACTGAAACAGATGTACTAATGTAAATGTATTGTTTATATGATGTATTAATGTATGTTTGATGTTATATTAATCTGTAATAATCCAACTTTAGTTAACCGATTAAGTTCACTGTAATAATTGTACACCGTGTCATTGTAATCGTATATTCAATACGAAAGTGTAGAATTAATGTAAAGTATCTCTCTAAATGCCTTGTTGAGCTGGTGTCGTCTCGAATGCGGTCAAGATTTTGACGTTAATTGTGAAGGGGAAAAGAAAGAATTGCGTTAGAGATCATAATGGGAGATATATTGTAAAAGAAAAGTGTTTTTAGGTCTGATTCAGTATCAGTATATCAGGAATAAAAGCTTGAATGAGCTACAGAGTTCTCTATGCTTCACTGTAAGTTAGTAATGCATACAAGGATGTACATGGTACTAGAATGGAGACAAATTATATAGGATACGAAAATTTTGATTGATTTTAATTATTTATTTACTATATAGATTTGTTACTAATTATAATGGATTGGAATATTTGAATATGAATTAGCTGAATATTTAAGAAAAATATTATGACTGCGAGAATATAAAAAACATTTTTTGAATATTTGCTTTCTTACAGAATGCAGATGAATTCATCTTTACTCAATGGGAATCAAAATTTAAAGCAATAATCTGTCCTCTATCGAGCACCTAAATCAGTGTGATCCGTTAATGGCCCTTTTTTTTAATTTAAAAGCTCCAAGAATAATTAGAAAAGATTAATCTCTTCTTATCCTTAAATTCCATTAAAAACTGCATTTTCAGCTATAATCAGGTGAAATATTCTCTAAATATAATTCAAAGCATAAAAATAAGGAACTTAAATGGCTTGGAAATGGAACTAGCATTGAGATTCTCTTTAAGAAACATGGTGAAGATTAAACAAAAAGTCTACGAAGCGAAGTAATTCCGTAGGATATTTTGAACTCTTTATGATTAAATTGCACTCAATTATACTTTATAAACGACATGTAAATATGATTTAATGTATATGTGTGTATGGCTCACTAGCGGCTGAGCGGTAAAGTGTTGAACCCTGGTAGTTCGATCCGGGGTTCGAATCCGGTGAACGGGATGGGTATTGGCGTTTTCGTGGTTTTCCTCATGTGACGTGAATACGAGTCAGTTTCTAGAAAAATTCTCCACGAGGATCCTTATCCTTAGGCAAATAGCCGTCGAATGCTTTGCTATAATCAAACAAACAAGACCAAACAATAGATATATAAATATGTAGCTTAACAAATGTTATATTTTATGTATACTTATAAAATAGTATAAATATATATATATATGATTATTAAAAGAAAGGAAAAGTCGGATCTTAATTGATTGTGTATAATAATCCTATGAAGTCCCTGACCAATTCTTCTCACTTAAAGTGGTAACCCAAAGGAAAACAAGTAAAATTAACTCAGATACGTATAATCAAAATATAACAATAAAATTATATTTACGAAACCTGACTAACCATTATTGATTGCGAAATATACGTATGGTAATGAACATTGTATAATATTTTTCTTTGATATTTTATACCTTGTTCTATATTTTGTTCTGTTTATGTACAAATGTTTATTACATAGATATATATAATTTAAGGATTCCATATTAACTACTACATATAAAACTCAAAATTGCATCAATAATGCATTTTTCAGTATTATTTAACTTCATTGTGAAGGATTTTCTGCAGTCTACTTTGCGTTATTTTATTCATAAGTCTCAAATAAAAACAATTATTGTTTACATGTCATTAGAAAAGTTGTATAGCGGGAAACGCAATAGTATATGAAGATAGAAACAACATTTGCTAATTACACTTAATGCAACAAAGGTTAATAAAACTTGCTGAAAAATATTATTTAAAATGCAGAATTTTTTAAATGAATCATTGCGTTGCGCTAATAAGAAGGGAGAAAATTAAAAGGTCATAAGCAATATGGAATGGCAACGGCTTCATTTTCCGTTTGTTATTTGATTTTGGGGCTTAGACGGGATCTTAGGGTATGGCAAAGCACACTAGGGCTATCTGCCTAAGGGGAGGGATGCCTTCGTGGAGGACTCTCTAAGGGAAACTGGCTTGTATACTTGTTACACATGCGGAAAACAACGAAAACGCACATGCAGTCAGCCCGTTCGCGGGATTCGAACCTTGGACCGAAGTACCAGTGGGATCCGGATTAAATGAATGTATGAGCACTTGAATGAGTCTCTCATTCAATGACTCAAGTTCTCTGTCATCATTTCAATCTCTTTCTCTAATTTAAATTAATATGTATTTACTGGCTTAAACGAATTAGCAACAATCAAAACAAGATAAATTTTGTAGGCCAGTTACTTTTAAGAGATTTGTTTTGATATTATAAATCGTGCTTTTAATAGAACTACATATGATACAGAAACAAACTCCTCTGAGATTTGCAAACGCTTCGACAAAGTATTTTGTAACACTATTTCGTATGATTTTAGAATATCCATTGAACGTTCTGAAATATACAGTTTTTTCTCTCGTGGGAGTTTCTGGAAATATCTTGCAAATTTTATTTATTTACGAAATCGTGGGAAAGGTTATAAAAATTTGAGAAAAGATAGAATTTAAACACGTAAACAATATTTTAGCAATGCCACCGCCGGGACCCGAACCTCAGACCTCTCGAATACGCGCTGAGCGTGCTGACCATTACACCACGAAGGCAAGATAAGAAGGTGAGAGAAATACCTTCTAACTTTTGAGGCAGAAGACCAAACAGCAAATTCGGAAACACATATTACTTTACTTCTTATTGATCCCGGAATGCATGGTAGTGAATGTTCAATTGTAATTAAAAAAATTAAGTAGCATTGTTTAACGATACCTACATATCGTGGGGATGTACATTCAGACCAAAGTGAATTTAGATTTGTTGATACTATGGAAATAACATAGAAAAAAAATTAAATTAGCAGTACTTATTTTAAATATATATTATGCCCACTTAACTTTCTTAAATTGAAAACAAATTAAATTATATGATAATATCTGATATATGATATAATATATGATAATAATAATTATATATTATCCAACTACCCAAAAAAATACATTTTTTCATGAAAATTAAAAGGCAAATATATTTGGTAACGTTGGTTTACTTACAAATAAATAATTGTACCCAATAAAATATAAAGATTAGATTTCGTTTACAAAGGATCAATTAGAACACGGAATTTCTGATAGGACATATGCTGGCAGTATCAGATTTTTTTAATGACTTGGGAAAAGTATGCTTATCGTACACTTAAGCTCTAATTTAGCATTAAAATAGAAAATCTTTTAGCGTTAACATTTATAAAACTTACATATTTGCAAATTATTCGTTACTTAACATTTGAGAATAAGGTCGCCTTTTTTTAATAACGTGGCATATTTATTTTTTTGCAGCACGATTGGGTCTGTGAGAATTCGTGGAAAATGTATCTTGTTCATACTTGCTACTGGATTGGAGTTGTCCTCGGGTCTATCTCACTCGGCTTTTTGAGTGATAAGTAAGTTTAAGTTTCTATTCAAGTGGGGTAATTATTCTTCATTAGGCAACGCAAATTGTGTTGTCAAATTTAAATGCAATGCCAGTGAACTTACAGATACTTTCTTTTTAATATTTGATCGCATCTTACTCTATAAAGAATGATTATACAATTATTACAATAAATCTTGATTTATTCTCAAAATACTCTTTTAATCCTCAACAAAGAGCAACCATCTTTATTAATTGAATAGCGACAATTTTGTCTTCCATCTCTGAAAAGAAATTCGCAAGAAACCGACAGATAAACGTAAATTGCCCATAAGTAATTATCTTCCTTTTATTGTAGGTATGGTCGTAAAAAGGCATACCAGGTGGCTGTTATGCTGACATTAATATTTGACGTTGGAACATTCTTTATCCAAGAACAAATAACTTTCGTGATTTTCCGATTCGCATCAGCTTTTTTTGGCAGAAATTTAGCAACAATGTCCTTTGTATTGGGTAATATGAGATTCTATTTATATTTTTTAATGCAACTAACATCATCTTGCAAATAACCAAATACAAGACACCTAATAATAATTTGGTTATAGTACTAAGTACTAGAATACTTTTATAGTGTTTATTGCATCTGTAAGCTTTCTTATCTTGCTTCCTGTAAAAGGAAAAAAGTGAATTTTTAGGTCGCTTCGGATCTTATGAAGCCAGTATTTTTAAATAAAGCCTGCTTATTCTAAAATTTACAAAGAAAGAAAATGCTATTAAAATTTGTGTTCGCGATTACCTTTATTGTTGTTAGAATATAGTGCTAACATTTTACGCGAGCAATTTACTTTAAAGCTAAGAAAAAAAAATGTATACTTACAAGTTTATATATAATGTGCATATTGTTGCTCTTTCTTCTTAGCACTGGGTTCTTTTTCCTTCTGAAATGGTGTTTAAGATCTATCTCATTTTAAATGTAAAAATTAAAAACTGTATCTTCAGCTTAGCAGAATATGCTAATTTGGCAATAAACATATTCTGCGTGAAAAATAAATCTGCGTTAAGAATAAAAATTCTTTTGCGGGAAACTTAAGAACACGTCAGATTTAAAAATATATTAATAATTGCATATTAATATTTGAAATATTCTCATTACTCTACAATCACGATTGCGATTTAAATTGGCAGAGCGCTAAGCTTTTTCAAAATAAGGCTAGAAAAACCAGCTTAAAAATTCTAGTAAAATAATATTTTGAATTAAATTTGATAGACTAGTGAGTCACTATACTAATGTTTATTGATATCTAAAAGCTCTAAATCGTTAATGTTGTTTCTGAAGTTAAAAAAACCATGCTTATTAATTTAGTGGAGACAAAGCCGAAGTTATAGTTTCAAATTCAGTGTTCACATTTACGCATCACTCATAATTATTTCTTAACACGGTTGAGAACTACACAAATTAATTGTTATATTAAGCAAAAAAGAAAAATGTGTATTTTAAGACCAGCAAAACTAAGTTGCTTTTAATTATATGAAACTGCTCTTTACACCTACTACTATAGAAAGATTACTTAGATTTTTATTTATCACAATATAGTCTTTGTAGATTAGTAGATATACGGCTTCATAGTATCGAGTCATCTTCCCCTTCCTAGGCTTTTATTTAGAATTAAATAAGACTCTTGAACGCTAATGTTCTAAGCGAGATTTAATTATTAGTCATTTACTAATGTACTGCTCTAAAGTAGTAAAAAACTTAACCGTTAGAGATCATTAAATATAAATATATCATCAAATATAAATATATCCTTAAATATAAATATATCATCAAATATAAATATATCATCAAATATAAAAACTTATTCACAATTATTTCACTATTTTTACTTTCTGTATTATTTTCCCATATTTAAATATTTTTCATCTAATCCATATTTTTATACTTTCCCTACATATTTGAAGTAGCTCTGAAAAGTTTTATAGAGTGATTCGAAATTTCTGTTTACACAATAACGAGCACCATTCAATAAATGTTAAATTACTGAGCTACATAAATGCCAAATGCGTTAAAAATGTTTAGAAAGCAGAGGCTTCCTGTTTAATATGCAGCTCTAGCAGATCTACGAAGTGCTTAGAAAAATTACACAGTAATATAGTATTTTCCTGAAGTAGGTGGACATTTGTTTGCCTAAAATTATTCCTTAAAATACTTTTAAGATATTGCGATACAGTATGATATTACAGTACTTCACGAATTTAAAATGTACTGACTAGCCATAAGCGTAGAAAATAAACAATAGTGACAGAGAGACCTATTTTTATTTACCTTAACCCATTTTACTATCTCTTAATCCGCTGTTGTAATTTTGTTGAAACAGAAGGATAAAACAATTACACATTCCGGAAAAACTATGATAGGGAAAATTATTTATTTTCTGATATCGAGAAAATGCTATACATGAAATGCCGTTAGGATATTCAAGATTTCAAAAGCAGACTTCATTTTGATAATCTTGTAATCAATTTAATGTAATTCATTTCTTAGAATCCCATTTAATTTACATAAAAAATAAATTATCTCTTATAAAAATCTTTAATAGAAACTAGTATTTTGTTTATCTCTGTAAAAAGAAAAGATTCCTTTTTAATCCGGATAAAGCGACGAGCAGCAAAATTAGATTACCATTGACATTAGAGAATTATCATTCCTGATATTTATGCAAGAAGCTGAATAGAATTAATGAATTTTAAAATTTAATGTTTTCATTCAATGACATTTATGAAATAAAGTAATTTTAGGGAAAAAATGAAGGTAAACTTCAGGAAATTTATTAGAATTATGAAAGAAGAATTTACGAGAGCCACATAATAGTATAATAGTTGAATATTAAAGTGGAGCATATGGATAATGAGCCTGTCTTTTCTAATTTCCTCTGTATAAAATCACTCGCAGCCATATAACTAAAACAAACTCTTTGTGGTAAATATAGCCCATGAAATTAGCACTTTTTTATCTTTTTAATACCGTAAAAGATAAAATGTTGGTGGTTGATGCTCCTCCGTTATAATGCAATTTTATACAGTTTCAAACATTTGTCCGCAGTATTCAGAAGCAACTCTTTTGACCAATGTTACGCGGAAGAAGACTATTGTTTGCCAAATTCTTAATTCCTGTGTCAAATCTGAGGCTCAATTTAAGAACAATGTAGAAGATTTTCAATCAAAGCAAGCGGAGATGATTGGCGTGTTTAGAAAGCGTCATTCAACTGTCTTCCTTAATCGTGCAAGATTTTGCAACTTCTTCAGCATTGTCATGAGACAAAGCAATATTCACGGGTGGAGTTCTGTAAGCTCATGAAAAGCATAATTGTATATAGGACGCGTCCAAGGTTAACCAAGGGCGACTTGGTGTCTCCCTGAAGAGCATGAACTTCAGTTGCTTTGAACTATTTCATATATGATCTAATTTTATATCAAAGTAGTCACCGTTGCCTGATTTGAAGAGACAGAACAAAAGAAGATCCTAGCGCAATGTCATTTAATAACAATGTACATAAAATACTGATACACGTATCTTTTGAAGCATCTAATAAATTCCCAAGCCATTCACAGAAAAATGTGCTTCCTTTAATAACCATTGCGTTATTAGAAATAAGTGAATTTCATAAAAAGAAGGGAATATAATAGCATAATAGTGTATATGTACAACATGTAAATGCAATTAGGCATTGTGCAAAGCATTTTACATCGGACGCCAGCTCCCCAGCAGTTAATGTTATAAAAGGAAAGTCTACTGTTTTAAATTCCATTTAATGTTCCATAGACTTAGTTAAATAACTATCATATGACACTTAAAACGCAACTTAATTTAAAATATGAAATATTCTATGAAATACTTAATCAAATGATTAAAATAATAATAAGATCGACGATTAAATTTTGTGAAATTTTAAAAGGATTAAGTGTGTATAAGATGTCTTGCAACGGTCACAGAGCTTCTGAATATTTTCCAAGAAGTCAAAAATTCAGATCTTTAATATTTTAGCTAAGCATGTTTGCATTTCGGAATTGCTTTCAAAAGGGTTTCCTCTAAGTTGCGATTTTACTTGAGGGAACAGGAAATTGTATATAAAGAACATGAAAGATGAATAAGAACAGTTAATACAGAAAGTTGGGATGCATTAATATTATTATTATCACAAATCATAGTTTTAATTACTGTGGGAGTAGTTAAAAAAGTTCATCTTTACATGAAAATGCATAGTGAAATCAAACTACAGAAGACCCATTTCAATGTATGTTAAATATTAATATTTAACTAGTTACTTGCAGCGATTTTTTTTCTTCTAAATATTTGATTTCGTGTATTTCAAATTATTGATACTAATAATTTGCACTACGTCCGAAAGGATTCGGAATTACTATGTCAAATAACGCGAATTATTATCAGAAAACGCTTTGAACCTGATCCGCATATCGGTGAACGAGTAGCTTCCGCATGAGTGCTTACGTGTTTTTCCCCCTTGTGAGACGAGAATACGAGTCAGCGCCTTTAAAAAGACCTCCTCAAAGGCATTTGGGCAGGGAGCCTTGTATGCTTCGCCATATTCGAATATATAAACAAGAGATTATCTTTTGGAGCTATTTGGCATTTTTTTTTTCAATTTTATATTATCTTCATGAAGTTCCTGAAAAATTATTATATTTCATATTATTTCATATTTGTGGTTTAATCTTATATATTAACAATTCTATATTATTTCCTGAAGTTTGTTTCTATATCTAACATTTTTGAAGTAACTTTTAGAGGCCTTAAGAAGCTTGCTTTTACTATATAAGAATAACTAACTACTAATCTTATGTTATATTTATAAAAATCTAAAGAGAAAAAGAAAATGCCTTTGAAATTAGTAAAACATATTTTTCGACGATATAATATATCAGTAGCAATCAAACACTTAATGTGTTTGGGGGAGGTAATCTAAAAGTCAATAATATACTCGAAGTGGAAATAAAACAATAGGAAATAGAAAGATAAAGCTATATGTTACCCTCCAATTACTGGAAATTTCAGTTATTCAGATCAATTGCTTTTAGGACGACAGCAACTGAAATAAAAGCTGTTAATTTATTTACGTGTTTTTAGTTTCTAATCGGTTTTAACAATATAAAAATAAAATAACAGTGTATGTACTTTTAGGAAGCTTAATTTAGACGAATGTGGATGGTATTTATTGGCGTAAAACAAAAGTAGTTTATTGCAAATCAAATAAAGTCACAAGCATTTAATTTAATAACTTATCATCGCTTGTCAATAGCTCGTCCACACGCACCCGCTGGATAAACATGTAGGTATAAATGAAAAAAAATAAGTATTGTTATAGCTTGTAATTTTTTATTTATTTTACAAATCATAATTTACGTATACTTTTGTTTTCTTTACAAACTGAGTAAACTTCGAGGTGATATTATGTTTATTCTCTTTCTTCCCGCAAGAATTTATGTCTTACTTCATG